GAGGAAGAGCTGAACCCATTCAGGAAAACGGAGGGGGAAATCAAAAGGGTTTATTTTTTCCAAACCAAGCTGAACTGGCTGGTATTTCAATCAGACAAGAAACATATCAGGCACAATGCAGGGTAGCAGGAGCAGAGAAACTGAGGAGGAGGAGGAGGAATTGAGAAGGGCGATGAGACAGGATAACACCTAAGGATGAGATGGTGACAAACTGTTAATTCAGCTCAGCTATAGCATGAAACTGTACCCTCAGTATCTGGAGAAATCTAAACCCATTTTCTTACGAATAAAGCTGCCTTGGATCCCAAAGCCAAGTGAAACACCTGACTCCTTTGCCATCTATGAAACAGGGATAATAAGTATCTATATCATCTAGTCTTACTTAATCTAAATACATCTTTATAGGAGGATGCTTCAAGAGCAAAGTGTTAAAAATAAAAGACCCAGAAAATCAAACCAAATAACCCCCGACCAGAAAGCAAAGTCCCTACTTCCCAGACAAACTGAAATATTTTCAACCGATGAATTATTCATTTTGTTTGGAGCAGAACTTACAGTTATTTTCATTTAATCTTTAGATAAAGCATATACTTAAAACACAACTCAACACCCTCCCGCCCCCACCCCCCAAGTCTTTAATGGCACTCAACAGTGCCTTAAAACGGGTATAGAGTCACTGATTCTGCTGCCAATCTTAGATGGGTTTTTGCCTGAAAGAAAAGAAAAACCTCAACTCCAACACAGGATTAGAGAAGAAGCACAAATCACTTTAAAAAAAGATAGACAAGACAACACAGCTTCATTAAAAAAGAGTAATACCTAAGGGAATTTTCAATTTCATAGTTCTAATGAGAGGGGTTGAAAAGAAGAATAAAGCAGGGAAAAAAAGAATTATCTTTGGGATAAGACATAATGAAGAAGAACACAAAACTGAACCAGAAACAGGCTTTCAAGTTTAACCTCAGGTTTTCACAGAAAGGGCTCTTATAGTCTTAGCTCTGTTCCCAGGGGAGCGTAAAGCCACACGACAACATCACCACACACAAAACTCAGCATATTCCTTGAGCAGGAGGCTCAAGAAGAGAACAGGTCAAGGTTGACATCACTAGCACAGCAGCGAGAGGGAGCGTGCACTGCAGTTGTCTGAACCACACCTAGTCTGCAGTTAAATATAGAACTTTACTTTCTGGAACTATTGCTCCTCTTAACCTTCAGAGCATAAATATTCGGAGAGATATTTAAAAAAAAAAAAAAAAAAAGGAAATAGAAAGGAGAGGGGGAGAAGGAGACCTGAATCTATTGTCCGAAATTTAAGCCTAGCAACTAATAAACTACCCTGGGAGAATGTCCAAAAAAGCAGTAAAGACTGGAGAATTGAATTACAGAAACCACAAGCAGCAATCTGGAAATCCCGTGTAAACCAATCGGTCCCTTTAATGCACAGACCCTGTATGCAGACACTTATGTACATCAGACATTTCAGTATATGTGCTGGCCCTAACCCTAATCCTAATTATATCAGGTTGTCACCAATATAATAATTAATTACACTGGAATTTTTCGTAATTTTAATCTTTTTTAAAAGAGAGGATAGCCTCTCAACCCTCACCCTTCTGATTTAGTTCATGGGCCAAATCGTGACCGGTGCTGCGCATTCCCAGTTGGAGAGCCTGCTCCTAGAAGCAAATCGCCCTAATTTTTGTAATCAAATTCAGATTCTTTCCTTGAAGTGTTCTCAGCTGGTTTGACACATCGACTTTTAGCGACTGCATTTCTCACCAACTGAACCCAAGCCAAAAGCACGCACCACAATGAACTGATAGAACTGCCCAAAACTTTGATCCTCACCCAAAAAATGTTTATACGGCAAGGTTTCAGAAGCTTATAGGAAGAAGTAGTTCTGCATTACCTACACAAGAGTTTCCATGCTCTTATCTTCAGGCACTTAACTAAATCCCCAAAGTCAGGTCTAACTGCAGAAGGCTCCTCTTTTGTAGAGAGGAAGGTGCACATAGTCCTCGTATGAGTTAGTGGGATGGAACTGTCTTCTGGATCTCACTGCTGAAAAGCTGGAAGCCCAGATGAACAAGCACTTTACTCAAGTTCCCAAATAAGCAGCTCAAAACCAGGTGCCTAAACCCCTGTGTGCACCAGCAGCACATCAAGATGCCGCAGGATATCCAACTGCAATGCAATGAAACTTGTGTTTAATTAAGGAAAACAGTCCATTAAACTAAGATACCTCCGGTCAGTCAAAACGTGATCCTTCAGAAGAAAATGGTCATTACCAGACAGATGGTATCAGACCACATGCAATGCCAAACACCATTTTAGGGGGCCAAATGCTTATTCCTGATCCTACGGCATCATGTGAACCTGATCTGCCTGGGCCAGACAGCCCGCAGTCCGGTTACATAGAATCATAGAATGGTTTGGGTTGGCAGGGACCTTAAAGATCATCTAGTTCCACCCCCCTGCCTTGGGCAGGGACACCTTCCACTAGACCAGGTTGCTCCAAGCCTCATCCAGCCTGGCCTTGGACACTTCCAGGGATGGGGCATCCACAGCTTCTCTGGGCAACCTGTTCCAGTGCCTCACCACCCTCTCTGTGAAGAATTTCTTCCTGACATCTAATCTAAACCTCCCTGATTTCAATTTAGACCCATTACCCCTTGTCCTATCACTACAGGTTACCTCCATCCTGGCTGCTGTTATGAGTCACATTACGGACAAACCTAGAAGACTCCAGTGACTTGTAAGTGAAATTCATCACCTTCTTCATAGGGTTCTCAACGGGGTGTTTTCCTCCCGCTCTTTCAAAGCTTGTCACATAAACCAGCTCATCCTTACAGCCCAATCGGGCCTATGAAAGTGTAACAATTAAATCACCACATTCCCGACTCGCTTTATGGGTAGATCTGTTGTCATACGACGCTCGTACCGGGGTTCGAGCCTACTGCGTTCCTGCCTCATGTAAAACTCCTCAGCCATACTTTCCAGTACCCACACACGGGGCTGAGAAATTCAGTGCTCGAGGTGACCCAGCAAGGGCTCTGCAAATTTAATATTAAAGCCAGGCTTAAGGCAATGTGGCAGAAGTCTCCACTGTCCAGCAGAATGAGAAGAAAACCCCAGCAGCACAGACCTTAGGGAGCACGAGGCAAGACACAGCCAACAAAACCAAGAACGACAAAGAAGAAGAAAGAGGATAATGAAAAATTAGATCAAGTGATTACATATCTGCTTACACAATTGGATGATTTTTAACGTCGACACCGGCTTGCTGTTTCCATACACAAAACCGAATCTCACATCTTTTTAACTGACACATACCCAACCATTACGGGTTATCTGACTTCTTGAGAGACTGGCTTTAGGGGAGATCTGAAGGAGCAGTGCTTGCTTGCTCAGCTTTCCCCTTCTGCTCTGTTTCCACAGCACCTAGTACACAGGAGTCTAAGGTAGCATCATGATTCAGACAACAAACAACAGCGGTTACCGCACTTCAGGCCAGATAGAAACCAAGAAGGAAAACACCCATGCCCAAAGAGCTCTAATTCTACTTCAGAGCAACTAAATATTTGACACAGAGAGGGTTAATATGGAGATGGTATTGTCCCAAAGGTATTTTTGTCATTCTACATCCTGCAATCAGGACAGTCATACAAGCATTTTCAAGTGCTAAAGATCCTATACTGCACATCGACCTAAAAAACCAGAGTCCCCTGCTCTATCAGATTTCAGGACTTCTGCATTCGTTGGGCCTAACAAAGCAGAACAGATTTCAAACATTTACATTATTTCCTGTGGGGAAACCTTCAGCCAAACCAAAACATCAGTGCAGTGCCAGGACAGAATATGGAAACAAACACTTTGCTACTGGCCTCAGCCCTGCAAAGACCCTGTGATGGACCGTGGCCACCCAGAAGTATGTCCATCTTGTGTGTGAAAAGGCTTGAGTCCCTGAGGGAGCTCAGAGTTTTAGTCTTAGCTTGTGAGACGCTCTCCTGCTCCTCATCAGTTCCCAAGACCCTTGTGTGCAGGCAAGAGGAAAGAGAAGCATTACAGAAAGGGCAAAAAGCACATCCTAAAAATCTGCTGGCCAAGGACTGACTGCAGTGGCAAACCAGAGAGGAGGGCGGCACGCACGGAGTCCTCCGGTGCTTTCATGGAAAGGAGGTTCCTCATGCGCTCGGAGGGAACCAAACTCCTCCCAGCCATTTAGCCCTTAACAGAAATAAGCCTTCATCCCTGAACTACGTTGGAGTTCACTAGCCCTTTTCTATTACACAATATTATCCACAAAAGACACATTACTGTAAGCAGAGGGAAAGGCAAAGCACATAAGCAGCCAGGAGAGCAGGCTCAGAAAGTGCTTCGTCTCGGCAGGACTGAAGAGCCGGGAGCTCTAATGATCACCTGCCACTCTGCATATGTATTTGAAAGATCCCCTTTGCTCTGTAGTGTTCCCAGCTCATGTGAAAGGGTTGTAAGAGCCTTTTTGGACAAGGAATCTACCGCTTGTTAGGCAAAGTTCTGCATCCTGAACAATTAGAGTGCTGCCAAAATGCCAGTACCAACTATAAAATAACATGATACAAATGAGTAAATAAATCAGTAAATTGGGATGGGAGAAATGCAGGATGTAAAGAGCGTGCGGACTCCCCCCAAGACAGAGCCTGGATTAGGCTAGATGGAAAGGTTTCTGTAAAAGCAAAGGAAGAGCTGAACATCAGTGCTCTCAGCCTGTGCTAAGGACAAGATGTCTTAGGGGCAACAAAAAAAAAAGAGATATTGTCCAGAGGAGTATAACATCTTTTTAAACAACAAAAGGGATGAAAAAGCTCCTCCTACTCTACTGTTGAGAATGAAATGATTACACTGTTATTAACTTGCTAAAGCACATCCATGAAATTGGAGCTGGTATTCACCAGAGCAGGAAAAAGGACACGTGTATTGGCTTTATAAATGCCCATCTCCGCAACCCCACAGTGACATACCTTTCCATAACAGCCAGGCACTCCTTTCTCCACGTGAACCGACTGCCTCGCCGTAGTCTGAAGGTCCCAGAGACAGCTGTGACTGGGGGAGGCGTCTGTCTCCATTCTGGCTCTTCTACTGGGATAGGAGCGGGTCTCATGCTTAACGTAGCCCCTAAGAATAATAAATACTGTGTTTCCTAGTGGATTAAAAATCATGCCCATTTTCTCACTCCTGCTCATGAAAAAAAGACAAGACAGATGATGAAACCATTCAAACTAAAATAAGTAAAGCATTATCAAACAAAGACACCTTAAAGATACACAAAGCCAGCTAGAGTTCCCATCCCCAACCTCCAAGCCAGAGAGGTATCAGGCAAGCATGGAAATCCAAGGGAGACACAACTGAGCTGATAGCCACTTAGGAAAACCTGCCCTGTCTTCATCAAGAGGAAAAATGTCTTAGAGAAAGGGTGAGCTATGCCCTAGCTGGGATTCATTTAGGTTGCTACCACTTTTTGCCACAACACGTGAAATAGCAGGTTTCTGTGTAATTGTACAGCAGTCTCAGGAAGCAAAATGGAAATTTATACCAAAGGTACTTTGGCGTGTCCGAAGAGCTGAGTAAACACTTGAAATAGCTCCACCGACAGAAACACACCCCGCGACCTGTGCAAACACGGGCTCCTGAGTGCCAGGTCGCCTGAAAAAGTCACTGACAGCAGATTAACATCACACCTTTCCTCTTCTGTCCCTCTTCTAGGGCTGTATTTTTCCCTTCAAGAAGCCTGAGCTGGAAAGCATCAAGCAAGAGACAGGACTTGGCACAATGCCTTCAGGAAAGGCCCTTTGAAACTTACCCCTGATTCTTTCACAACAGCCTCTCAGTTAATAAATCAAGATGAAAATCAAGACTCACTGAGGAGACCGAGCGAGTATATCCCTCGGTGAGGATGGGAATGTGGGGTAAGACATTAGTACGTAAAACAGGGTACGTTCTGAAGGACAGCTTTGTGCTCAGTGACTTCCCCCGGAGGGAAGAAATAGCTGTTCTTGTGTGCAAAAAATAAATAGAAAAAGTCATATGAAAAAATAAATCACCACCTCGATCCCATACGCATAGTGAGCTCAACTGGAATTCATGCACGGAACCAGCCCGGAGAGATCCAAGAGGAGAGGCAGCTCTGCTCACGGGGAGAATGCAGTATCGTGCGCACGTAAAGCAGGGCTGAGACAGCAAATCCCTCTGGGTAGGGTCTTGCTTAGAATAGTTAGGATTGAATCATAAAAACCTCCTGTGTTAGTGAAACAACGCTGCTTGTTTAATTTAAAACAGACTAAAAGGGTTAATGGAACGTAGAGTTTAACCAAGAAACAAATTTCTACACTTAAAAAGCAAGAAATCAGCTATTTATGCATTTGGCCATGTTCCTTTCCGGAAAGGCACAAGTATTTTCCCTACTGCCAGGGGCTTGCATCTGTCTCAGGTAGCGGAGCCCCAGATAACTGGAACATCTGACCCAGGAGAAGTCTGTAAGAAGCGAAGCCCACAGCCCACATACACATCAAAACCAACCACCACCACCACCAAAACTAAAAACAAAGGTTAAAAGAATGAAAGAGGCAAGGGAGAACAGGACAAGCCATTCGTTTGCATTATCTTAGCAATATAGTCTTGAGGGTTTCATTTCTTATTTTTAAGGATCTAAATTCTCAAGAAAAAGGCAGAATACGGGAATATCGGTAAGAGACGCCGAGCACTTCCATTAAATTTGCCCAAGATTGTTCAAAGGTTGAAACAACATCTGCATTTGAAGCATGAATTTGCTCCTGCTATTGATACGTTCACTTACCGACTATAACCTGCTTTTTTTTTGTTTCAGTAGCTTTGCTAGATCAATGCACCTATTTCTCTTTTCTACGGGGTGACATCAATATCAGCAGGAGATGACAGAAGTACATGGAGAATTCCAAGCGAGTACCCACGGCTGGTTTTGCACACACATAAGGACAGAAGCATCTCAAGGCGTAGAGAGGCTTAAGAAGAGCTCTTTTACAAGAGCCTGTAGTGATAGGACAAGGGGTAATGGGTATAAATTGAAATCAGGGAGGTTTAGATTAGATGACAGGAAGAAATTCTTCACAGAGAGGGTGGTGAGGCACTGGAACAGGTTGCCCAGAGAAGCTGTGGATGCCCCATCCCTGGAAGTGTCCAAGGCCAGGCTGGATGAGGCTGGGAGCAACCTGGTCTAGTGGAAGGTGTCCCTGCCCATGGCAGGGGGGTTGGAACTAGATGGTCTTTAAGGTCCCTGCCAACCCAAACCATTCTGTGATTCTATGATTCTATGTGTGAGTGGCAAAGTGGTGGATATATACGCTGCTGCCACATTTTAAGGTAACTATAGAGTCAGTTTTTCTTCACCTCCCTCAATTAAGTAAGCACTGGGAGCTCCCGTTCGCTCCGCTGTTCCAAAGCTTCGCTGCAATCTTCTCGCCACCCAGCTCCGCTTCACAACTTCCTAAGTTACACCCTAGTTACCAGCTCAGCTTCTTTCCACAAATCCCTCACACAGCTTTTAAGAAGTAAAACTTCTCCCTCGAGCAGGACGAGCGGAGCAAATGCCGTACGAGATTTTCATCTGAGTATACGCATCAAAAAGCAAGACGTCTCTGCGGGGCGTAGGGGTGAACCGTCGGGGAAGAACTCCTCTCGCAGAGAAAAAAGAACAGCGATGTCTCTCGCTCCCTGCCAGCGCGGTTCCGTTCACAACAGTGCTGTATTTTCTTGGTGAAAGCCAGCATTTTCTCAACCGTGGGGTGTAACCTTGGGGATGCTGCAGGTTTTGGGGAGAGGAGGCAAGAGCGGTGCTCTCCAACTGGAATGCAGCTCTATCTCCACACTCCAAATTCCCCAGGGGCAAAGGCCTGCC